AAACAAGATGGGAAGGCGGCCAGGGAGAAGAAAACTGCTGAAGTGAAGAAAAGAAACAAAAAAGTCCAAAGATTTCAGTTGATTATAAGTCCAATAGAAAGTTCTAATATTATGATGTAACTAATAAGCAAAGAAATCTCAGAATATAGTAATAGATAAACAATGTCTGGGACCAGAGGAGAAACTAATCCCACTGTGGCCTGCCCTGAGCATATCACGTCACACCAGGAAATAGCAGATCCTGTTCTGAAGGAAAACAAAGAGTCTGGTAACCACATGGCATCCAAAGAGATGGTCAGGGCAGCAGAAAGGCTCACTACTTGGAGGCATAAAGTAACTACCTCTGAATATATTTAAAAGCTTAGAGGAAAGACCTGTCTTGTATTGTACCCAATGATGAAATAAGAACCAGTAAGTAAAAAGTGCAAATTATCTGCAAGCAGTAGAAGCAAAACTTGATAAAGATGAGGGTTGTGGCTGCACGCGAGGCCCCTCAATTGGAGGTGCCCTGGCAAAGCCTGGATGATTTTCTATAAGAACAAAAGGAGTTTCTGTTCTGGACAAGAAGGTTGTACTAAATGATTAACATGCTGTTTTATAAATCTCTTCCCAAAATCTATCGGATATAAAAGGTACAATACGTGGCTACATTTGGGCTGACATGGAGCTCCAGTAAGAAAATAGAAAAGATTATGCAACCTTCCAGATGCTTAGTGGGTTGAACCCCACGCATTCTTCACTGCTCTGGAAACTCTAGTAACACAACAAAATAAAGGACAAAGGAGAAAAAAGGAAACGACAGCCAAGAACGCCAACAAATTCATGAAAAGACAAAAAACTTAATTTAGGAAGCCCAATATTCAAATAAAAGAAGTTTTAGAATAACATATTATAATATATCACCCACCTCTTGGCCAAGGGGAAAAAAAAGGTCGGGGGTGGTGGGGGTGGGGGCATGGGTAGGAAACAGAAGGAAGCAATTTTCCCAGAGCTTAACAAATGTGGCTCTCCTTAGGGCCTGCACAGGCCAACACAATGAGTGGTGCGACAGATCCTCCCAATGTACTGAGTGTAGTTCCATGGTAGCAGAAATGAAGAATCTAAACCTTCTAGTGGTGGGTGCGGAGGAGGGGGACTCACAAAAACAACACAAAAAAAGGACCATAACTTAGTATCAATTCTTGAAACCAACATTTTCAGACATGGAAGGTCTGACGGATCTATTCACACTTTCTCAGGTAGCTACTGGAGAATGTTCTTCACCAAAACATGACAACACATGAAACCAGAAATAGGAGACATCAAGAGACAGACAACTCCCAGAAGAAAGGTGAGGAGAAACACCAGCAACTACGGAGAAGGTCAAGTGCAACCAGTACAGAGGAAGGCATGAGGCAGAGGGTGTGGAAAAAGTGAGTCCAAGAAAGAGACACAGCTGACTGCCAGATGTATCTGACCACACTGAAGAGAATTTTGCAAATTTTGTTAGGGATTTTGGGAATAATTAACCAAAATATACATACCTTTAATACTGACTTTATCCAAAAGGTGAAGGAGGGAAGGAGTTATCCATGTAAGAACTAAAACCTCCTCTTCATAATTAGAAGATAAGTAGATTAGAAACAGTTACATACAGGCAAATTATTTAGAAATGTGGAAATAAGAGAAAACAGCTAAGAGATGAAGGTGGCAGTCCCAAATGAGTAATTCAAAGATGAGAAAGATGGAACAATTGTTATCTTTTGCTATAAACCTTGCAATATACCTCTGACTTTTTAGCCTCTGTGAACAGTCTTCATGAAAGAACTACAGGCAGAATATTTCCAAAGAAGTTGAGAAAAGACAACCTATAGTAGAATCTGATAGGACATGCTACAACTGATTGTGGTTGTGTATAGAACAATAAAGGGCGTAGTTCAACAAACTTAGAAAACTTGTAAAAATTTAAGATGTTTAAAGCTTACAGTTATTCTTTGATTATTCGCCAGCAGGCATTTGGAGACTTTTGAAATCCATCACCTGTTACTGAACCAGTAGCACCAACAGTAAACTTCATTCACTCATGGACTTAACCATCCTGGCTTGCCCTCTGACACAGCAACTTGATGTGGTAAAGTTTTATTGTGATTTTTTGAGCACAGGGCAAAGACTGAAATTTTTCTGAACAAGAAGAACAGCTGTGAATGACAATTACTGAACACTAGACAGCTGTAGAAATCTGCCTTTGCTGAAGTCTCAATGGCTGATATGTGAATCATCTACTAAATTAATGTCATTTAAACAACTTTCTCTGGTTGATAAGGAAGGTCAAGCTGCTTCATACACTTCCTGTAGGAGATGAGCTCTCCATTCCCATAAAAAATTGGCAGTGGACATGTTTTCTGAGCTGAAACTACAGTTACATAGCATTTTGCAGACCTTGATGCAAAGGCAAAGGAAATCTCCATATTTCAAAATCCATTTAGGGGTGCAATTAAGGAGCTTTCACCTAAACTATAATTAGAAATGATTAATTTACTACGTAATGACATGCTAAAAAGTAAGTATCAAGAGAAGAATCCAAGAGAATTCTACATATGCCTTCCAAATAATGAATATACTCAACTGAAGTAATATGCTTGGGGACTGATAGAGAATGTGGGAGTACCTACCTGTGTAAAAAGACATTTCCAAAGATGAAAAATGTTAAAACCTTGCTGCAGATCAATATTAATAGATTAGATGTACCTTTGCAATAGATTTTGATGAGAGCTACTCTAACTTTAAAGACCAATTAGGTGAAATATTATCGCCCTAGAAAAAAGAATTCCAGTCTTCTCACTAGTAAGAGAGAGCTGTATTACAGAAAATTGAATTCAATTATTACATTTTGAATCTCATCAATAACAAAGCCTGTGAAAACTTGTTGTGTCTCTTGGTATATAAATACCTTCATAAAATCCTCTTTTTTGCCTCTTCACCCACAAAACATAAAATATTTATTATCTGGCCTTTGCAATAAATGCTTTGTTTGCCAGTCCCTGGTCTAAAATGCCCTATACCCACAGTGCTGTTCCTCTCCAGGAACCCTTGTAACCACCTGGCATTGATTCTAGGACTCCTGCAGACTGTGAAGGGTTCACTCTAGTGTGGGACAGCATGCTGACGAGCAGAGATGTGTAAAAGGAGGAGCAGGAGGAATAACTAAAGGTAAGAAATTGTTCCGCAAGCTGCCAAAGCTAAGAATCTCTATCAGCAAAGGAAAACAAAATAAACAACAAGGAGGGAGAGACGGAAAGTCTCAAAAATATTATCCTGAGAAATGCCTCTGACATTTTAGCTCCTACCACCAAACAATTAATGATACCTATATTTTGTGAAAAGTACTAAAGACACAAAGAAGTTAAAGCTGCTTACTCACAAAATACTTAAAACGTAGTTAAAGAGAAAAAAATAATTCTAAAATAATTTCATGAGATGCTCTGAGAGTTCACAAAGGAGTGACCACAAGGGAACTGGAATAATCCAAGGTGGTTTGACAGAAAAGGCAGGAAGAAAGCTGAGCCCCAGAAGACGTGAATTCAAATACAAAGAACAACAATAAAACTCTATGAGGCCGGGTGCGGTGGCTCATGCCTGTAATACCAGCACTGTGGGAGGCCTAGGCAGGCGGATCACTTGAGGCCAGGAGTTCAAGACCAGCATGGCCAACATAGTGAGACTCCGTCTCTACTAAAAATACAAAAATTAGCTGGGCGTGGTGGTGTGCGCCTATAATCCCAGATACTCAGGAGGCCGAGACAGGAGAATTGCTTGAACCCAGGAGGTGGAGGTTGCAGTGAGTCGAGATCGCGCCACTGCACTCTGGCCTGGGCGACGGAGCAAGACCCTATCTCAAAAAACAAACAAAAAAAACTCTATGAGACAAGGAGCCACAAGGGGAATGAATACTTGCAGAGAATTCTCCACATGGGATTGAGGCAGAAGAATATGGAGGTGAAGTTGAGGAAATCCTAAGTTGTGTACAAGAATCTGAATATCGGGGGCAAGAATAGGACGTCACTGTTTAAGTGCAAGGGGAACTGCAAGGGTTGGGTAGGACTGTTCTTCAGGGGCTGGGGCTGAGGAGACACCATATGCAAAGTAGTATTTTACATGCCTATGAAACATCCACCTGGCAGTCAGAAGTACAGACCCCTCACAGCAAAACCACCATAGGACCTCCCCAGGCAACAAAGTCTGACCTAGCTTTGCAGCCGTGGAAACAAAAAGAAAAAGACCAAGAGTCAAGAGTAGAACCAACAGGCCCTGGTAAATCACTGCTCATCAGGATAAAAACAAAGCCGAGTAAAAAGTGACTAAAATTTCAAGTCTTAGAGCTAGCACCAGTTCAGGAAAGTAGATGATTAAATGATTTTTGTCTACCTTCTAGAGATACAATGGGGACAAATGAAATTTGATTAACTATGCTTGCATGTCCCCCAAAAGGAACTACTGTGCCACTTCTGCCACTTCCTAGTAAGTGTCAACTGGGCCAAAAGTCTAATATGCAAATTCAATCTCTAATCTTTAATAAAAAGTTCTAAAGTGATGGAGATTAGGACTCTGAAAGACACAAGTGACTGACCAGAAGTCAAATGTCCTTTTGCTGGTATAAAACAAAAACAAACACAAAGAGAGAGCCCCAGTGCCCTGGAAGCAGTGGCCTGAGTGGCGACTCTTTCTCTGCATGCTGCTACTTCAGCTTACTAGGCCTGGCTGGTCTTTGGCGCCCCTCTCAATAACCCCCTGTAAACTTAGAATCCCTTGAGTTCTGCAGATTTAAGATATACCAAAGCAGACTAAAGAGGGTGTCATTTAACTTCCTAAAAATACCACAGTACCACAGAACCATACTGCACCTAGCTCAGAGAGACTGGTCTCCACCTGGTTTGCTACGACTCCAGGGTCTCACAAAAGAACCATAGCTTTCCTTGATGTCATTAATGGAAGGAAACTCCTGCTAATCGTAACATTCTTACCTTTCAAAACAAGTTTAAAAATTAAAAGAAATGTTTTCTTCTTGGTGGCTCCTTGCCCATTACAGGTTATCCTGGTAACAGATTTCCTCCAATTTACCGCATTAGAAGATTAGCAGGAATAAAGTGGGATATGGATATGAAACAAGCTCTCCTGTAAAAGAAAAAAAAAAAAAAAGCAGATAATCACATTTAATGATAGCTGCCATTGAAGCATACTAGGTCAGGGTCTTGGGTCACACAGAACTATACCACAGGGAATTGAAAAGTTCTAGTTAATCATTAAAATTTTTCTATACGAACATAAGAAAAAAGGCACTGTCAGCTCTCTACCTTAGCTTTTATCCTACATTACAGTATCCTACATTACAGCTTTTATCCTACTTTACAGTAGCTCAGAAGTAAATACAGATGTCATAATAGCACTATCAATGAGTGAAGAAGAAAAATACATATTCTCACCTTTGTCTTCTGAAAACATCAATTCTATTCTTATCCAACATAGGGTCCACTATAAAGGCACCACACTTTAAAACACTAAAATTTTACAATTTCCTTCCTTTAAATGCCCCCTAGCAGTCCACTTAATACGTTTAATAATAATGTCAGGAAGCATGACATTAAGATCACTGAAGTTCTAGCTATACTCAAATTAAATCTCTAACGTCAATTAACCAAACACTGCACATGAAAAGGATAGAAATTATCTTCCAAGACACACACTTCATATATAGCTTAATATTGCGGAAAAAGACTTAAACTGTGGACATTGAATTAATTAGAATTCTTCTAAGTAGTGAAGCCTGACAGGGCCAAAGAAAAAAAAAAACCAGAAATCTTCTAAGAATGCAATCTACAAGGCATCTCCAAAACAATGCTGTTCATCTAATGTCTTTCCCCCATAAAACTCATACTACATTGTGATATCAACATTTTTCCTCAAGTAAGATAATAAATTATGTTAAACATTTGTTAAAATCAATCAACAAAAATAACAGTAACAAGCCTAGGTGCAAATTAAAATGAGCATATTTAATTTTAAAAATAAAATATTTTACCAGTTAGGTGGTTTTTGAATATACACTGCAAAAAGTATAATCATCCAAATTTTTGCTTAAAATGAGAACAGACCATGTGGCTGTGCTGCTGGAGTCCTTAGACAAAACCGAAAGGTCCTCTATGGCAAATCCCTCTTCCCTCCAATTTAGGATTGTGTATCACATCGAAAGTCCTATTTCCTTAATTTCCTCTCATCTGAAACAGTTCAACATTTTTTTCCATTCATTTCACTGACATCTTTGAAGAATATGGGTTATGTGTTTCCCGCAGTAGTACTACATAAATGAAGCTTTGTTTCTCCCGGAGCAACACAGAAAGAGACAAGATGATGTCAATTTGCCCCATTATTGGTGATAATTTCAATCACTTGGTTAAAATCATATTTGCCAGATTTCTTCACTGTAAAGTGAGCATTTTCCTTAGTAATTAATTCATAATCTGTAGAACAATACTTAGAGACTATGTTCTTAGAACGTTCATCTAGTAATTTTAGTGCCAACTGGCAACTCTTATCTGAATCAACTGATACTCAGTTATGAAAATGATGAGGTTTTTTGAGGCAGTCTACGGTACCTCCTCGCATTCAAACTTCAGTGAGGGATGCTCCCTTCTTCCCACTTTTTTTTTTTTTTTTTTTTTTTTTGAGACAGAGTCTCGCTCTGTCGCCCAGGCTAGAGTGCAGTGGCGCGATCTCAGCTCACTGCAAGCTCCGCCTTCCGGGTTCACACCATTCTCCTGCCTCAGCCTCCCGAGTAGCTGAACTACAGGCGCCTCTCACTGCAAGCTCCGCCTCCCAGGTTCACGCCATTCTCCCGCCTCAGCTTCCCGAGTAGCTGGGACTACAGGTGCCTGCCACCATGCCCGGCTAAGTTTTTGTATTTTTAGTAGAGACCGGGTTTCACTGTGCCCGGCTAAGTTTTTGTATTTTTAGTAGAGACGGGGTTTCACCGTGGTCTCCATCTCCTGACCTCATGATCCGCCCGCCTCGGCCTCCCAAAGTGCTGGAATTACAGGCGTGAGCCACCGCACCCGGCCCTTTCCCACTTATTCTTTCCTTATGTCATCAGTATGGACTCACAGATTCGTATTTTACTAACTTTCATTTATTTTTTTTTTGTAGACAGGGTGTTACTCTCTCGCCCAGGCTGGAGTGCAGTGGTGCGATCTCAGCTCACTGCAACCTCCACCTCCTGGGCTCAAGTGATCCTCCTGCCTCAACCTCCTGAATAGCTGAGATTACAAGCAATCGTCACCATGCCTGCTTAATTTTAATATCTTTTGTAGAGACGGGATTTCACCATGTTGGCCAGGCTGGTCTCAAAACTCCTGACCTCGAGTGATCCGTCTGCCTTGGCCTCCCAAAGTTCTGGGATTACAGGTGTGAGCCACTGTGCCTGGCCAATTAACATCATTATTCACTCTGATGTTCAAATTGTTCCACATTTGGCCAGTGGGAGCCCCTTCCAGCATGCTCTTGTGTGCTTTTCCTAGTTCTCAAGCACTTCCTCATTTCCTCATGTAACATGTTCTGGATTTGTCTTATGCATTCTCTGTTAGACTTCGAAATCTGCCATTTCTCCAAGGAGTCTTGGTTCCTTTTAGTGGGGGATGTAATTTAGAAATGAAGGTCTGAGAGCAAAGTACGTTTAAAGATACTGGGGCTGGCACTTCCTCTGTCCTTTTATAGCGAACAAAGCTGGGAAGGAATGTCAATTTCATATGTTCCAACTCTGTTGTGTATCCCTGACTTTTAAATATGAATAAAAATCAAGGATTACCAGACACCTCCAGAAAGCCTCTACCATAAAAAGTAGCAAAACAAACAGAAAAATGCAAGTTAGAGGAAAAGACAATCAGAAAACAGGAAAGAAAAGTGAAAGCCTAAAATGAAACATTTTAGCAACATTTTCCAACATCCAACCCACAGGGTAGGTTCTTTAAAAAAAAAAAAAAAAAAAAGAGAGAGAGAGAGAACAAAAAACAGAAGGGAGGAAATCAGATAAATAATTCCCAAAAATGTTCCTGAAAACAGACCCACACCAAGGAACATTACTGTTAAACTGCATGACCCTGGCACAAAGAAGAGCCTAGGTCTTCCACAACCAAAAATATGAATAGTTTCAGATTTCTCAAGAACAGAAAACAAAAAAGTGAAGTAACACAACACACCCATTAGGATGGCTACTATAGGGAAAGAAGGGGAAAAAAAAAAAAAAAAAAAAAAAAACAGGAAATAAGTGTCCATAAAGACGTGGAGAAACTGGAACTCTTGCGCACCACTGGTGGGAATGTAAAATGGTACAGCGGCTATGGAAAAACCGTATGTTCATTCCTCAAAAAACTAAAAACAGAATTACTATATGACCCAGCAAGTCCACTTCTGGTTCTACACTCAAAAGAACTGAAGGCAGGGTCTTGAAAAGATATTTGTGTACCGTGTTCACGGCAGCATTCCTCACAACAGCTAAAACATGGAAGTAACCCAAGCGTCCATCAACAGACGAATGGGCAAGTGAAGTATGGCAGAGATGGAGAATCCCCGTCCAAAATGCTTGAGACCAGAAGTATTTCAGATTTCCATTTTTTTGCATTGTTAAATATCTGCATATACATAACAAGATATCTTGGGATAGGGCCCAAATCTAAACATATAATTAAGTTGTGTTTAAAGTGTACTTTATACATATATCCTAAAGGTAATTTTACACGATATTTTAAATAAACTGTGTATTGTGTGTCTATATTTTAACTGCAGCCAGTCACATGAGGTCACATGTGCTGTATGAGGTCAGGTGTGGAATCTTCCACTTGTGGCATCGTGTCGGCACTCAAAAAGTTTCAGACTTTGAAGCATTTCGAATTTTCCAATTAGGGATGCTTAACTTGTAGATACATGCAATGGAATATTACTCAGTCTTAAAAAGGAAATTCTGATATACGCTACGATGTGGATGAACCATAAAAACGTGCTGAGTAAAATAAACCAGTCACAAAAATGACAAAAATATCTTTTGATAAAGGCACAAGACTATGTAATTCCAACTTATTGGTGGTACTCAGAATAGTCAAAATCAGAGCCAGAAAGCAGAATAGGAGATGGAGGATAGTGATGATTGCACAATGTTATGAAGGTATACTATTAAACCGTACACTTAAAATGGCTAAGATGGTAAATTTTGTTAGATGTATTTTATTACAATAAAAAAATGATGAGGCAATGTCTAAAGAATTCTGAAGAGATGCGTTCTGACTGAATGTCTGTTCCCTCTCTCTTCCATTCATATGTTAAAGTCCTAACTCCCAGCATTGTTATATTTGGAGAAAGAAAGTAATTACAGTTAAATGGGGTCATAAGCGTGGGGCCCTGATTCGACAGGATTCGTGTCCTTATGGGACACCACATGCACATGAACCCAAGGAAAGGCCATGTTGAGACAGTCTGGGCCACAATCTCGAAAGACACAATCTTGAATGCCACAATCCCGAATGCTGAATGCTCATCTGCAGTGGATTCTAATTATTGACTGGATAACTTTGTGAACATTAGAATTCTGGGCGTGTTGGCCAGGCGTGGGGGCTCACGCCTGTAATCCCAGCACTCTGGGAGGCTGAGACGGGCGGATTATGAGGTCAGGAGATCGAGACCATCCTGGCTAACATGGTGAAACCCTGTCTCTACTGAAACACACAAAAAACTAGCCGGGCGTGGTGGCGGGTGCCTGTAGTCCCAGCTACTCGGGAGGCTGAGGCAGGAGAATGGCGTGAACCCGGGAGGCAGAGCTTGCAGTGAGCCGAGATCGCACCACTGCACTCCAGCCTGGGCGACAGCGACAAAGCGAGACTCTGTCTCACAAAAAAAAAAAAAAAAAAAAAGACTTCTGGGCGTGGTTTTGAATGTCAGTTTGCAAGCTCTTCTGAGCTGGTATGACTTTTCTTTCTCTTCTCTACGCTCTTCTCACTGTTTCAGGATTGCCCGCCCCCCCACCCACCGCCTCACCCCGCCAGCTCCTGGTTCTTTGTCCCCGCCATCTCCTGTGGTACTGCGCTGTGTCTGCCTTGTGGAGACCCTGAGGATGTTATGGATGGAGTTACCAAGCCCCAGCAGGCTGGTCCAGTTCCTGGCCTCCACAAAGTATGCGTTCTTTGCTGCTCTGTAAAACCTGCAGCCCCCAGCAGAATTGGGCCTGTTTTCTGCTCGTTTCACAAGAGAGTGAGCCCCCCCAGCTCCAGTTGCCCACCTGCATGAAGCTCTGTTAATGGCTGGGACCCCCGCAGTGCCTGGGCCCTGCGCCTGGTGCTGGGCCTGGCCTTCAGCTTCTCTCCAATTCCCAACTACTCCACATCTGGTCCTGGGAGATGTTCTTTCCTTTTGAGCCTGAAAGATCAAAAGCTCTAAAGTCTAAAATCCTGAAAATTACAATTCCAAAAGATCAAAATCCAAAAACTATAATTCTGGAAAAAATAATTTAAAAAAACTTCAAAGACATGTATTTACATTTTTAAAGGGGGATTTCAGGCCAGGCATGGTGGCTCACTCATGTAATCCCAGCACTTTGGGAGGCTGAGGCAGGTGGATCGCCTGAGGTCAGGAGTTCAATACCAGCCTGGCCAACACAGTGAAACCCCATCTCAACTAAAAATACAAAAATTAGCTGGGCGTGGTGGTGCATGCCTGTAATCCCAGCTACTCGGGAGCCTGGGGCAGGAGAATCACTTGAACCTGATAGGCAGAAGCTACAGTGAGCTGAGCTCACGCCACTGTACTCCAGTCTGGGCAACAGAGTGAGACTCCGTCTCAAAAAAATAAAAAATAAAGGAGATTTGAGAAACATAAAAAAATGAGAGAACACGTCATAGGTCACTTTACACAATAAAATAGGCAATAAACAGGCCGGGCATAGTGGCTCAAGCCTGTAATCCCAGCACTTTGGAAGGCTCAGACAGGCAGATCACAAGGTCAGGAGATCGAGGCCATCCTGGCTAGCACAGTGAAACCCCGTCTCTACTAAAAAAATACAAAAAACCAGCCGGGCATGGTGGCGGGTGCCTGTAGTCCCAGCTACTCAGGAGGCTGAGGCAGGAGAATGGCGTAAACCCAGGAGGCGGAGCTTGCAGTGAGCTGAGATCCAGCCACTGCACTCCAGCCTGGGCGAAAGAACGAGACTCCACCTCAAAAAAAAAAAAAAAAAAAGAAAAGAAAAGAAAAGAAAAAGGCAATAATCACATGCATATTTTTGCAAGGATACAAGGTATAATTCAGGTCTAATAATGACAGTCACATGGGTAGACTAACAGTTATGAGCAGACAAACCACATTCATAAAGAAATAGGTTAAAAAAAAAACAACGAAATGCATAAATGCATATAACAGCCAGCATGGTGGCTCAAGCTTGAAATTCCAGAGCTTTGGGAGGTTCTGACAGGTGGAATGCTTAAGGCCAGTTCAAGACCAGCCTGGGCAACATAGTGAGATCCCACCCCTACAAAAAAAATTTTTTTTTAATTAGCTGGACTTTGGAGTACGCACCTATAGTCCTAGCTACTCAGGAGGCTAAGGCAGGAGAGTCGCTTAAAGCCCAGGAATTTGAGGTTACAGAGAGCTATGATCATGCCACTGCACTCCAGCCTGGGTGACAAAGCAAGATCTTGTCTCACTCATTCATTCGTACATACATTAAAATGCATATAACTACGGTTGGTAATTGTATGCACTGAGCTTTATAACTGCAGTCATCTAAAATACCGTGATAGACAACCTATGTCTTTTGATGAGATCTACAAAAAACCACGATGGATCAACATCACATATGCAGTTGCTCAGAGAGCCAAGATCTTGAATTTTGTCTTTCACAAATGCGGATACACAAAAAGGACATCTCTTCATTTACTGAGGAAGTTTCAACAGTTTTACACATATGTACAATGTTTACACACAAAGTTAACATGGAGTCAAATGTGCAAAAAATGCATAAAACAAAAAGAATATATACCACTTACACCCTAGTATTGAATATGATGTGAAGACTAAATACATAGCATAGCAAACTGGCGCTACGTGTGAATGGGCAGAAGTCTTATAGGACTGAATAATTTGGCAGAAGAGATTTCTTGCAGTTTTTGTCTGTTTTCAGATCTACGTCTATGATCTTCAAAACACTCGTTACACTTGTATTTGAAGAGTGGTTGTGGTCTTCAAACTCTGTAAGTACATGCTGTCTGTTTCAAAGTCTGTTGTGTCCAGCTGTTGCAATTAAGCAATTTTCTGCTTTCATAGCCCCAATAATAATTAACTTTAACATTTTCATCTTTCACCATTAAGTAGCCTCATACACTTATCACAGCCTTTTTGCAAGGGAACAATTTCACAGATCTGTTCCACTGTGTTTTAAGAAACACAGTAAGAAGGAATATTTGACTTCCCCAATACCAGATTTGTATTAAGCTTCTTCAGCAAGACAGAACTGATAAGATATGTATACAGATACACGAGAGGGGATTTATGCGGGGAATGAGCTCATGCGATTATGGTGCTGTGAAGTGTCACGACAGGCAAGCTGAAGACCCCGGGATGCCGGTGACAAGGCTCAATCCAAATAGCCTGAGAACCAGGGACACCAGTGATCTCTAGCTCTGAGTCCACAAAAGCCTCAGGACCCAAAGGGACTGCTGGTGTACATCCTGGAGTCCAAAGGCTGGCAACCCTGGATTTCTCACGTCCAAGGCAGCAGAAGAGTCTGTCTGGGCCCTGGTTGATTGGATGGTGCCCGCCAACACTGAGGGCAGATCTTCCCCGCAGCCCACTCAGACTCACGCATTAGTGAATGAGGTATTATCAATTATAAAATAGGGATAATAACTAGTAACAGGAATGGAAAAGCACTTGTACAATGCCAGCACAAAAGGTTTGTAAGGGCAGACATTCATACCTGACATTTTGTGATTAAGCAAGTGCATTTAGATGCTGTTTTGAGAATCTTTCCATCTCCTCTGGAAATACTCTCACAGACACAGCCAAAACCTAATGTTTCACCAGGCTTCTAGGTATTCCTTAGTTAAGGTGTCATCTAAAACTGAGTCCACAAGTCCACCTATTGTCAACTTGGCACCCACACACATCTCCTTAAACCATACTTAATTCACGAATAAAGACAATAACAAGGTAATAGTTCCATCTAACGTGATGCAACTATCCTATGTACAACAAAAAACATACTAATCCCTTCCCTAGTAATTGGCTTTCAGGGTTTCAACACCCAGGATTTTAATCTTTTGTGATTTTCAGAATTTTAGAGATTATGATCTTTAAGGATTTTGATCTTCAGGGATTCTGATCTTTAGGTATTCCAACATTTGGGATTATGGTGCTCCAGACTGTGTCATCTGGTATGATGACTGGCACCACATGTGAGAAGAGATGGTGTCTATAAACCAGAAAGAGGCCACTCACTAGAAACCAAATTAGCAAGAAGTTTGATTTTGAACTTCTAGCTTACAGAACATGAGAAAATAAATTTCTGTTGTTTAAGCCACCCAGCCTATGATATTTTGTTATGGCAATCCTGAGCAGACTAAAATAGAAGGAAAAATTTTCCCAACCCAAAAGCATATACCCAGTTAACCTATACCAATCAGGAGTACACAGAAAGATACACAGTCTCAAAAGCTCTACCTCCTATACACCTTTCTCACTAAAAACTACTGGCAACTATGCTCCACTAAAACCAGTGAGAGCAACAAGGTAACACAGAACACAGGAAGAGGAGATCCGGTGGGGAGAAAAGAGGCAAAAAGAACCCCAAAGGTCGCAGAATGGGAGGGCCAGCAGTCCAAACTAGAAAGATTCCTTCAAAAGGATAAAGCTCAGGGAAGATCTGAACATGTAACTGGCTAAAAGTCTGAGGCTAAATTAGTGATAAGTACATTTAAACACACACACACACACACGGCTGGGCGCAGTGTCTCACACCTGTAATCCCAGCACTTTAGGAGGCTGAGGCAGGTGGATCACCTGAAGTCAAGAGTTCAAGACCAGCCTGGCAAACATGGCAAAACCCCGTCTCTACTAAAATTCAAAAAGTAGCCAGGTATGGTGGCACACGCCTATAATCCCAGCTACTCAGGAAGCTGAGGCAGGGGAACCACTTGAACCCGGGAGGCAGAGGTTGCCAGGAGCTGAGACTGCCGACACTGCACTCCAGCCTGGGCATCAGAGTGAGACTCCAACTCAAAACACACACACACACACACACACACACACACACAGAGAGAGAGAGAGAGAGAGAGAAACACAGTAACACATTTCCAGAGGAAACCAAAAGTTGTTTAGGAAAGGAAAGCATTTGTAATTTACCACTTAACAGCTATAAATAGTATACATGGGCCGGGTGCAATGGCTCATGCCTGTAATCCCAGCACTTTGGGAGGCCAAGTCAGGTGGATTACAAAGTCAGGAATTTGAGACCAGACTGACCAACATGGTGAAACCCCATCTCTACTAAAAACACAAAAATTAGCCGGACGTGGTGGCACATGCCTTAATCCCAGCTACTCAGGAGGCTGAAGCAGGAGAATTGCTTGAACCCAGGAGGCAGAGGTTGCTGTGAGCTGAGATCGCACCATGACACTCCAGCCTGGGCGACAGAGCAAGGCTCCGCCTCAAAAAAACAAAAAAGTATACATGGTCGTAATGTAGTATATACATGGTTGTAATGAAAAAACTAAATAGTGATTTAACCAAAATGTTAACAAACCTCTACAGGGTGGATAGGGAAGACAGAAAATGGCAATGAAGGTGCAATAAAGGAAAGAAGTGAGAGCCAATCCTTATATTCCATGTCAGAAAATCAATAGATACTGCTTAGAACTAAAAAAAAATCCGCAAGTATACACACAAGTATGAAGTCTTCAAATATAATCTTCAGACATAGGGAAGTAAATATATATTTTTAACTGGTTAAAACAGCCCAAAGTATTACACTATCTTCAGGAAAGGGAAAAAAGAGAGTGGGATACTTAAGGACTCCTGTTTGTCTTACCCAATCTCCTAGAATAGTTGACTCCAAAATATGGACATATAAAACTTTAGCTTAAAGAAAACTTAGAAGTTTTTAAGAAAAAATGCTGGGGCTCATGCCTGTAATCACACTTTGAGAGACTAAGGCAGGAGGATCACCTGAGCCCAGGAGTTTGAGACCAGCCTGGGTAACATGGCAAGACCCCATTCTCTACAAAAATTTTAAAAATCAGCCAAGCATGGTAGCGCACACCTGTGGTCCCAGCTACTCGAGAGGCTGAGGCAGAAAGATCACTTGAGCCCAGGAGGTCAAGGCTACGGTGAACTGTGTTGTGGCACAGCACTCCAGCGTGGGCTACCTA